AAAAAAAAAAAAAACAATGCCCAAGATGACTAAAACAACTCCAAAGGGACAGACAGGAATCGGACTATAACGACTGATAGAAAAACACACACGCAGTAAACTTTCCATCCTGTGTTTAGATTAAATATTCTTTGGGAGGCTCCTTCTCGGCATTCCTAATAAGCAGCTCCAGATGCCAAAAACTACATGAGACATCCTGATCCCAACTGGCTCCCTGACAGCTATAAACCTCTCATCTGAATGCTCCATCTGGGAACAACAACATGGCCATTTTTTTGATATGTAACTTTCTGCAGCAAGGAAAATAATGTATATTAGCACAAACCCTGCGTGAGACAAAGGGTTGGGACAACAACAAGGGACAACATGGGCTGTCCTCAATTAATTCGCACCAAATGCTTTGGCCCACTGTTGACTTTCCTTTATGAATGATATCACACATCTAACGAGTTTCCCCACACTGTCAACTGCTTTTCCAATTCAGAAAATGTTTCCAAATACATTGTTGTCAGTTAACAATAGTCTAGAATAGTACTTTCCACACACTGTACATTTTCTGATAAGAACCACAAAAAATATTGTTTAGAAAAAGCAAAGACACTGAGTAAATAGTTTTTCTTGTAAACAGAATAAAGTGTGGTGAACAGCTGATTATTCCACTGAATCCACATCAGAAAAAACATTACTTGAAATAAATGTAAACTTAAAAAAGAATATTTTTCAAAATTCAGATTATTTCAGCTAGTTGCCTAGATACTCATTTTCATTTTATTTAACTTGATGCACTAAAATAGCTCAAATTAAAACTGAAGTAGAATTAATTAACATTAAAATAGGCATTAAAAAAAACTACTAAAAGAAATCACAAAAAAATTACTAGAACTAAAAAATTAAAACCAGGGTTTCTGTAGGTTTTATGGTATAAGGTCAATTTAAGACTTTAAAGACTAAGCAAAAAAAATGTAAAGGAATAAATTGAAGTGAATATAATGTCTAGAGAGCAGGCAATGAGATGTAGTAGCAACACTTCAAAGTTTCAACAATTTCCAACAGATCTCCCTTTTTAATTCATTTTACAAAACCAAACAGCTTAAGCCACTTAATAGCTTCCAACCACTAGAATATGGAAATAACTTTTACAGTACCTTATGATCACACTGCAAAAAAAAAGAAAAAA